TCATGATGGCAAAGGCAAACGGCTGTGGTGTTGGCGCTTGGACGGGGAGGAGGAGGAGCAGGAAGAAGAAGAGGAGGAAGCGGTAGCCAAGCCAAATGCTTTTGAGAGGGGATGGGTGCGACCTGGGAGACACAGGGAAACTCCGCAAAGGGGGAGAAGGAGAGGAGGGCCGTCTCCTTCCCCCAGCCGCCCTACTGTGGAGGGACAAAGGCTAGTGGAGGAGGTGGGGCGGGGGGGGGGAAAGCCAGACCGCGGCCTCCCTAGGGCTAAAGGCCGCTGCTGCCCACCTGAAGCAGCGAAGCCTCCTGATTCCCACCGGTACCGTTACTCACCAGTTAAGCAGCAAGCAAATGGCAAAGACAAAATGAAATGGAGACTCGCGCAGAGTGCTAAGCTAATCGGACTCCAGCCAATCAGTGAGCGACAGGCTGGGCTGGCTTAGATTTTTAGTGTAGAACGGAACAAGTGAGCGAACTAGCAGCTGATGGGCGGGGGAGCGAGCGAGCTGCGAGCGCCAAAATAAAGCGGGTTTTTTTGAGAATGGCCCGGGATCCGGGAAAAATTATGGGAACGGGACGTCTGGTCACCTTACATTTGGGGGTTCACCAAACTGAGCAGAATCCTAGTTAGAGGATTGCCCAAACCCATGTGACTCCCCAGCAGCCCATCCCTGTAACACCACCTCCTTAAGGTGTTTCATGAAATAATGTGATCTCCCTACTTCTAAAGTAAAACTAAGTTGCTGATTGCTTTGCTTTGCTTTACACCAGTATTTTTTAAATTTGGCAAATTTAAAACATGTGAACTTCAATTCTCATAAATCTCAAATTCTGGGAGGTAAAGTCCATATGACTTAATGTTGCCAGGTTTGAGAAACATTGCTTTAGACTACTTTGATTCTACCTGTGCAATTTTCTTTGACACATACATTTTTTTTAACTCCAAAGGAGATTTCAAGGTGATTTGAAGCACCTGGTCAAGGCAAATCACATTGTTTCCTAATCTCAGTAAAATACATTTTGTTCACAGAAGAATATACCTCATCAAGTGAGTCAAAATGGTTGTATAAATAGGCTTGTGAAAATATATGATCCATTATCAACCCTGCATGATGGAAGGAATGAAATATTTTTTTTCAGGGCTGAAGGAGTAGGGGGTCATAATTTTTGGAATTAATATTCCTCTGACAAATAGTGAATCAAGTTTATTTTTTTAATATATCGGTAGCAGAAAATGATTTAGTGCTACTACTTTTACTGTTAAGGAGAGTACTCTGTCACAAACTTGTCATATGAATCAGTTGCATCACCTTTTCCAGTCTAGAAACTCCCAGATGTATTAGAACTTTTGCAAACAACAAAATTTGTAAATCTTGGTTGAGGCAAATATTTCCAAAGGATATAAACAAACTTTTCTAGACCTGAGGAGGGCAACGGTAGTATGCAGTTTGGAAAATAAGTGTGATTCGAAGAGAAATAGGATTAAGTGAGGAAGAGCTGATTGAAAGGAGGATGGAAATGAATGATTTACGATACTTTCAATCATGGTCCAAGGTGAAGAATGGAGTGAAATACATTGTTGTTCTTGTGAATCACCTAAGCTATAACTTAGAAGCTTGGTGTGCAGTTTTTTTTGTTTTATTAGATCTCTTGGGGACTTTTGATACTATCAATCCTAATATGGTTCTGGGCCTCTATAAAAGTTACAATTTGAGGGCATGGCATTGTAGGTGTCTACTTAAAATGTAAGTTTTAATTTTTATTGTATTTAAAAGATTAAAATCCAAAATACAATTTACAAAGACAAAACAAAAATTTAAAAATTTAAATTAAAATGACAAAAAACGAAACTACATATTATTTCCCCAGCTGAACAATGACAGATATAGTGCAACAATTATAATAAAAAATTCTATATCTATCTGAAATACAATTTGACCTGTCATACATTATATATATGAAGAAAAAATAGTTAACAGGTTAAACAATAGCAACGTTAACCTTTCTAGGCTTCTGTTCACAATGTGACCTTTAAAAGTATTTTTTCAAGCTCTTAATCTTTCCTTCTTAGTGATACCGAAATATGAGACCAACTCACAGTTTAGTGGAATCTACCCTGCCATGGATAGGTATCTTCTTAGGAGAAATATTGTAATTAAATTTTGTCTACCAGAGATTACTAAGATGCATTCTGTAGGTAAATAAAGAACTGAAAACTGAAATTTGAGGTGCTAATTTTATTTATGATAAACAAAAAATTCCATTACAACAAATCATCTTCCTTTATTTTTCATATGTCATTATCACTATAATAAGCTTTGCCCACCCAAAAGAAGGATGGAAGGAAGGAAAGGAGGAAAGAAGGAAAAGTTCTTTGAAATAACCAGGAATAAAACAGTGTAGCTTGCTGTTTTCATCTCTTAATCAAGAAAAACTTCTGAGGCTGATGAAAGGATCAGAAGATGCTGTAAAATTGTTGGAGTTTTACATGGAGTTGCCAAACTATTTTCATCAACCTGTTAACAGATTACAAATTAGATGTTAAAATTTGACAACACAAAAGTAGCTAAACAAGTATCTATGTTTCTAATTACCAAACTAATTCAAGAAGAAACATTTTGCTGGAGGCAGCATCAAGAAAGCAGCCAAATGATATAATTAAGAAAAACTTCTCTCAGCCTAGGTTGGAGGAACCCTAGTTGTCAATGGATGGCTGAAGAATTGGAAATAAATGTTAAGGACCAACTTCTATGGAAATATTGATGAAGTATAACAATGCCAGCAAATTAGGTTTGCATGTGGTCGATCAAAGTTTCTGGTAGCTAATCTGAAGCAAAGGAATCAAAGGCAGGTGAAGTGAAAGCAATATCTGTATTCACCCAAGAAAGAAAGAAAGCAAAGATTGGGGAGAAGATTAGGCTACAAGGCTAAAGGGAAGGGAGTATGGAGGATTTCCTTTTTCATCAAAACTATGATAATATGGAACCCAGTGCATCCTTGAGAAGAAAGTACTACCTGAATCGCTGAACATCTTATTCTGGGTCCACACAGCGCATTGCACAACATTTGTAACAACATTTCTTCTTTTTTTCACAACCATAATCTGTCGAGCACTCGTTAGGCAGAGGACCAGCGCAATCGCAGATATCTATTGGGCACACCCCTGGCTTCTGTTTAACTGGACCTTCTAGAAATGGCAGAGGGGAAACAGGGGGGAAATGTAGTGGAATTATTACATTACATTATTAATTTACAGTATATATTATTAATTCACCATCAGTCAAGGCAGTTTTATTTGGAACAGCTTACATCCTGCAACAATACTTCTAACACCATTGCATCAATTTCCATTCCACTTTAGCTTTTACTTTCCACATCCTCTCTCCTTCTTCAGGCCCTGGTGCTTTTCCAGCTTTTCATACTCTTTCCTGGGGTTGCTGTCACTTGATGGTAAGAGCACTTGTGACTATGACTTCTAGGTTGAGAGAGTCTCCCAAAATCTAGAAATGACATCAAAGCTGGGGGCAATATGCTGACTCTGTAAACCACTTAGAGAGGGCTGTAAAACACTGTGAAGCAGCATATAAGTCTATGTTCTATTGCTATTGCTATTGCTATTGCTATTGCTATT